CCATTTATTTTGGAATCTGTAAGAGATAGAGCTAAAACAATGATAATCTGTGATCACTTTGATATCCTATCAAAAATCGATATTTTGAGTGAAAACATAAAAGTCCATTTATCTTCGAAACTGTAAGAGATAGAGCTAAACCAATGATAATCTGTGATCACTCTAATATCCTATCAAAAATCGATTTCTGAGTGAAAATATAAAAGTCCATTTATCTTGGAATCTGTAAGAGATAGAGATAAAACAATGATAATCTGAGATCACTTTGATATCCTATTAAAAATAGAGCTAAAACAATGATAATATGTGATCACTTTGATATCCCATCAAAAATCGAATTTTTGAGTGAAAACATAAAAGTCCATTTATTTTGGAATCTGTAAGAGACAGAGATAAAACAATGATAATCTGTGATCACTTTGATATCTTATCAAAAATCGATTTTTTGAGTGAAAACATAAAAGTCCATTTATTTTGGAAACCAGAAGAGATAGAGCCAAAACAATGATAATCTGTGATCACTTTGATATCCTATTAAAAATCGATTTTTTGAGTGAAAACATAAAAGTCCATTTATTTTGGAAACCAGAAGAGATAGAGCCAAAACAATGATAATCTCTGATCACTTTGATATCCTATCAAAAATCGATTTTTTGCGTGAAAACATAAAAGACCATTTATCTTGGAAACTGTAAGAGGTAGAGCTAAAAAAATGATAATCTGTGATCACTCTAATATCCTATCAAAAATCAAATTTCTAAGTGAAAACATAAAAGTCCATTTATCTTGGAAACTGTAAGAGGTAGAGCTAAAACAATGATAATCTCTGATCACTCTAATATCCTATCAAAAATCGATTTTTTGAGTGAAAACATAAAAGTCCATTTATCATGGAAACTGTAAGAGATAGAGCTAAGACAATGATAATCTGTGATCACTTTGATATCCTATCAAATATCGATTTTTGAGTGAAAATATAAAAGTCCAATTATCTTGGAATCTGTAAGAGACAGAGATAAAACAATGATAATCTGTGATCACTTTGATATCCTATCAAAAATCGATTTTTTGAGTGAAAACATAAAAGTCCATTTATCTTGGAAACTGTAAGAGATAGAGCTAAAACAATGATAATCTGTGATCACTCTAATATCCTATCAAAAATCGATTTTTTGAGTGAAAACATAAAAGTCCATTTATCTTGGAAACTGTAAGAGATAGAGCTAAAACAATGATAATCTGTGATCACTCTAATATCCTATAAAAAATCGATTTTTTGAGTGAAAGCATAAAAGTCCATTTATTTTGGAAACCAGAAGAGATAGAGCCAAAACAATGATAATCTGTGATCACTCTAATAACCTATCAAAATTCGATTTTTTGAGTGAAAACATAAAAGTCCAGTTATCTTGGAATCTGTAAGAGATAGAGCTAAAACAATGATAATCTGTGATCACTCTAATATCCTATCAAAAATCGATTTTTTGAGTGAAAACATAAAAGTCCATTTATCTTGGAAACTGTAAGAGATAGAGCTAAAACAATGATAATCTGTGATCACTCTAATATCTTATCAAAAATCGATTTTTTGAGTGAAAACATAAAAGTCCATTTATTTTGGAAACCAGAAGAGATAGAGCCAAAACAATGATAATCTGTGATCATCGATTTTTCAGTGAAAACATAAAAGTCCATTTATCTTGGAAACTAGAACAGATAGAGCCAAAACAATGATGATCTGTGATCACTTTGAGGTCCTATCAAAAATCGATTTTTTAGTGAAAACATAAAACTATATTTATTTTGGAAACTAGAAGATAGATCCAAAACAATAATGATCTGTGATCACTTTGATTTCCCACCAAAAATTGATTTTTTGAGTGAAAACATAAAAGTCCATTTATATTGGAATCTGTAAGAGATAGAGTTAAAACAATGATAATCTGTGATCACTTTGATATCCTATCAAAAATCGATTTTTTTAGTGAAAACATAAAAGTCCATTTATCTTGGAAACTAGAAGAGATAGAGCCAAAACAATGATAATCTGTGATCAGTTTGATATCTTATCAAAAATCGATTTTTTGAGTAAAAACATAAAAGTCCATTTATCTTGGAAACTAGAAGAGATAGGGCTAAAACAATGATAATCTGTGATCACTTTGATTTCTTATCAAAAATCGATTTTTTGAGTGAAAACATAAAATTTTATTTATCTTGGAAACTATAAGAGTTGGAGCGAAAACAATGATAATCTGTAATCACTTTGATATCCTATCAAAAATCGATTTTCTGAGTGAAAACATAAAATTCCATTTATCTTGGAAACTATAAGAGTTGGAGCGAAAAAAATGTAATCTGTAATCACTTTGATATCCTATAATCGATTTTTTTTTGAGTGAAAACCAGGAACGTAACGGTTATAAGAAATATGACGAAACGGTCTCATTTAACAATTAATAGTAACGGATTTAAAATAAGTGTTATAATTAACCATTATTATAAGATATATTTGATTTTGGTCGTCGTAACCAATACCAGAGAGAAATATATTTTTTTGGTTACGAATAACAATTATCGTAACCAAAAAAATTGTCTATTAATTTTATAAATAAAATATAATTTAAATTAATTTGCCTTTTAATTTCGTTAATATTTATATGGACCAAAAAATAAATTAAATAAATTTTGGTTATCTATTACCAAAAAAATATTGGTTGCTAAATAACAGTTATTCATAACCAAAAAATATATTTCTCATGTTAATTGGTTACGTAGACCTAAATAATATAAATCTTATAATAATGGTTAAAAAGTCCCTAAATAAAATAAAGGGATTTTTTGCGTAACCTTTTCTTTCGAAAGAAAAAATAACAATTATTTTCGGTCTCTGGTGAAAACATAAAAGACCACTTATCTTAGAAACTAGAAGAGATAGGGCCAAAACAACGATAATCTGTGATCACTTTTATTTCCCACCAAAAATCGATTTTTGCGTGGAATCATAAAAGCCCATTTTCATTTGAAACTATAAGAGTTAGAGATAAACCAATGATAATCTGAGATTACTTTGATTCTCTAACAAAAATCTATTTTTTAAGTGAAAACGAAAATTTCCATTTATTTTGGAAACCATATTCCCAAAACAACGATAATATGTAATTACTATTACACTTATTACAAAATATAAAAGTTTATTTTTAACGGAAAGTAGAAGTAGAAGGTATTGAGCCAAAGATGCAAACATCTGTGATCACTTTTGATGGTTGGAAAATGTATATATCCAATTGAAGACTAAGAGTTACCCTTTCTTTTTAGTTTAATATGTAGTACAATTTTCTTACGCTCATTACACAACGAAGATTATCTACTTTATAAATCCCTTAAAGGACAATATTAAACATCATGAATTGTTCTGTATACAATTTGCATTTATAGGCCAAAACAAACAGTAGCAAGAAAAAAGCTCTTATACATAATTTGTATGTATAAAATCCAATTGATAGGATAGATATAAGAATATAAAAGGATTTTGTTGTGTAAATATAATTATTCCCTTTAGAAAAGTTTAAGATTATTAGTTATAAGGGCTTTAAGACTCTCAAAGACAACATTACAGAAGGGGGAGTTGAGTGGATAGGGATTTCATAAAAGACTAGTCATTTAATTTGTATTTAAAAGTTGTTTGAAATTAAATCAAGTGTAAAACTTAATTGACCATGTTAAAGCAGTAGATATTCAAACATATGTGTCTATAAAACAACTGATGATAACTACAAATATGATTATAAAGCTGTGGAGATACACACTTAAATTTGGTCTTTGGAGATTAATAGCAAACAAATTAGAACAAGTATGTACTTTCAAAAACTTATTATGCATTTTGAAGATACATATTGATTTCAAATTGATTTTTGTTTAAAAAGAAAATAAAGAAAAGAAAATAACTTAAACAAAAGTTTTATTTTTTACTAAGAAATAGGGGTTTTTTATTTATACTCATTAAGTTAAATATGTACAGCAGAGTTTAATATAAATGATATATTCCTCTTTATTATATTGTAAAATAAAAAGTAAACAATTATGTATTTTTTTCATATATACAACAAAAAATGGACAAAATATTTCGTGTATGTAAGCAAAATGGCAAAAAATAAAAAAAAACAAACTAAATGACAAATGACTTAAATTATATAATTACTTATTTATAAAAAATGAAATAGTTATATTGAATTACAACTATTTTTTGATATTATAGTTAAACTAATTACACTAATAAAAACATTTATAAAAAAATGTCAACTATACACAAAAAGAGTATAGTTTTAAATATCAAAACAATCATTATCATTGTTTGGGGGGAGTTGGAGCAAATGTTATAATATTGTGAACAAATCGTACTTCCTTCCATCATCAGCATCAATCCTTTAATTCTTTAACAAGTAATCCATTTCATGTTCAGTCTTTGTTGTGGCCATATATTGATCCAACTCTTTGTCCAAAGCATCTTTGTTGACAGCCGGTTTTGTTGCTGCTGCTGATTTATTTCCTAAAGATAGAAATAGGTTTTTGTTTGCATTAAAAAAAAGCTGAAACAAAAAGAAGTTTTGTTTGAATTTTGATTTTTGTTATTTGCTGAACCACAAATCCATGTTTGACTTGTTTAAGAAGAGATCCCCTGTCTGTCAGCAACTTATGGTTCGTTTTTACCTTGATTACGAGAGTTGCCGCCGCTATTAGCACCACGTCCGGTGCGACTACGACTGCGTCCACGTCTTTGTTGTGTTTGAGCTTTACCATTATTATTTGTACCTCTTTGACCGTTGCTGATGTTGTTACCACGTCGTTGTTGCTGGCGTCCGCGGGGAGCACGGTTGTTACGTTGCTGTCTTACTTGTCCTGAACCCTGTTGCTGGCGTTGCTGACCTACCTGACCCTTGCGTGTGCGAGAACGTGATCGTGAACGCACATTACCATTTTTGCTGTTATTACGAACGGCAGATCTTGAATAAGAAAGTTTAAATTTGTGGATTTGCTTTAAAATATCAGCTGGTGTTTAGTTAATAATAATGTGATGAAGCTTTTATTGATGAAAATATCTGGATGATGGTGTTATTTCATTTCCCTTAGTCCGTTTTTCCATTTGTCAGAAAATTAAAATTTTCAGAAAGTTTAAATTTGTGAAGTTGCTTTAAATATCATCTGCTTTTTAGTTAGTAATAATGTGATAAAGCTTTTATTGATGAAAAATCTGGATAATGGTGTTATTCCTTTTCCGTCAGAGTATTCAGTTATTAATTCATTTATGTCTGTTTTCCCATTTGTCAGAAAATTAAAATGTTCATTCCTCTTTGTGTAATCCTTATTTTGTGGAAAATCTGTATTTTTACACCTCTTCCCTTAGTTTTACTTATCTGCATTATACCGCATGACTTAGTTTCCGTTTTTTCTAATTCTGTTTTTTTTTAATTTCTTTCCATAAGGTTTCTTGTAACTAAATGGCTTTTCTAAACACATAGATTCTTAATAACATTAACATTTTGTAATTTTGGAAAACCTTTTACTTTATTTTCAAACAGTTTCGAATTGCAGGAAACGAAATATCAGTAAACACTTTTAAATCAAATAACTTTTTGCTTTCTAATAAATTTTTTTCTACGAAAACTAAATTTCTTTTAAAAAAGCTTTCTTCCTAAAAAGAAAAATATTTTCGTGACAAAGGTTTTCAATGAAAAGAAAGCTTTATATGAAAAACTTTTTCTTGAAAGAAACCTTTTTACTATTAAAAGAAAGCTTTTTTTGAAAAATATTTTTTTCTGCGAAAAGACAAATTTTTATGTAAAAGCTCTTTTCTGCTAAAAGATAACTTTTTTATGAAAAAACTTTTTTTCTGGGAAAAAAAAACTTTGTGCAAAAGCTTTTTTCTGCGAAAAGAAAACTTTGTTAAAATGGGTTTTTTTCGAAAAGAAATCTTTTTGTAGGAAAGCTTATTGTGCAAAAATATATTCTATGAAAATAAAGCTTTTTTTCAGCAAAGAAAACAATTTTTATGAAAACGTTTTTTTTGTGATACTTTAAAAAAAATCGTATTGTAAATTTATTTAATCAAAACAGGGTTCCTCTTTGTAGAAGATTTATGGAAAAGGTAATTTCCTATGATAAAAGTAGATTTTGCTAATTTGCAATATCCTAATGTCTAAATCTAAATTCTCAATTAAACACACAGAATACGTTTTGGATCATACTTCAATAATTAATCATGGGATTGAATGAATAATTTTTATGTCACTTAAAAAATCTCATCTAACAGATTCATGTCATTAAAAAGAAAATTGTATATAAATGCATAAAACAAACAATATTTGGTACACACTTACCTTGATCTCATACGACCACGTCCATTATTATCGTTTCCAGCAGCATTTGCATTTGTAGAATTACGTCTCTTCTGTACACGACCTGTTTGTACACCCCGTCTGGTTAGACTAGCATTGCGACCACGTCTATTATTTGTACCGCGATTTGCAGCCACACCGGGACGTACACCCAAGCGTGCTTTAATTGGCAAATTTGATTTGTTTACAGAGCCAGCAGCAACACGTCCACGACTGCGACTACGGGAACGACCACGACGTACGTTGTTGTTGTTGTTATTCGTTTGTGCGTTGACCGAATTACGATTTCTGGAGCGGCTACGATTATTAAGTTGATTGTCTGAATTGTTGCGGGTACGTGAACGATTGCGTCCATTATCGGACAGGGTGCGTGTACGAGAACGACTACGTGAGCGACCACGATTATTAAGGCCAGTAGATCTGCCGCGATTGCCAACACTATTGCGACCACGTTGACGATCAATATTTCTTCTGGCCACACGTTGAGCAGCACCGCCCACAGTAGGACGTCTAGGTCCCAAACGACCGGCTAGATTGTTTGATGAATTAGAACGACGCAAGGGTCTGCCACGATTGTTGGTAATCTCGCGATCAGCATTCATGCTAAGCAAGTTGATAATTTTGAATATTACGTTATTTTTTAGGTATTTAAAGTTTAAGCGTAGTAAGTGGTGTTTAGGAGGCATATAAATTATTTAGTTTTTTCTTTTGTTTGTTTTATAATGTCCTCCTTTCTTATTTTTTAGTAGTAAGTAGTTTTTAATGAAAAAAAGATGCTTACGTTGCAATACGGGTCAGGCTGTTGGTGCGTATGGGTTTACCATTAGCTCCTACGCGAAATGCTTTGACAGTGCCACGTCGTATTCTGCCATTAGCTCCACCACTACCATTCGATCTGCCACCAACGGTACGCATACTTCTCTGTAAGATTCACACGCAAATTAGGTGTGTAGAAATAGTTTGGTTTTGTTATTATAAAGGTGTTTTTATTGTGTTTATTTTTTGTTTGTTTGCTCTTATTTCTTCTCTTGCTTTCATTTAGCCGTAACCCAACCCAATTCTATTATGGCATTTTTAAAATACATATCAGTTAATCTAATTTTAGTTATTTTTATCATCTTTAGGAATGATTATTATGACATATTATACTGTAGATATTCTCCAGTTTCAAGGTCATATTTGATACGATGATTGTTAAGACTTGTTCTACTGTAGATATTCTCTGATTTCAATTACAAAATTGTTATGAGTTTTTTTTAAGATATTCCTTGATTACAATTTGTAATTCTTAATGGATGTTTAGTTGTCGTAGCAAAAATTGTAGAAAACTTGAGTAAGTTTTCCGTATGATTATTCCCGATCTAAACAATTCCATAGACTTTCGTTTTATTAAAAGTATTGACAATTCGGGTGAAACGTATTTCACTCATTCTACAAAATGTAGAATTTGTAGAATTCTTTCGTCTGGTGTTGCTCAGCTTGTCAGGTCCTCAAATCAGTTGTAAAAAGTTCGATTATTTAAATTTATTGCTTCTTTTATGCATGGAATATTATTTGCTGAAGTGAAAGTCCGCAGAATCTTATTTGAATGAAAGGGAACTTTGGTTTGCGAATATTTGTAGAATATTATCGTAGATTGTTGTTTTCAATTTCTGATCCCGACATTTAGGCTTCGAATTTGCAGTTAAAGGCGAAACTAGTTCATTTTGTTTCATTGTGAAACAAATGAATATGCTTTAATTGATTTTGTTGAAAGTTTGAAAGGAACGGAACTTTTGTTTAACTAGAGTAAATTATTTGCGATTATTTGTAGAGCATTATAGTATTTTTTTTTTTTTTTCAATTTCTGGTCCATGTTCTTGTATACTTCGAATCTGCTGTCAAAATCGAAATTTGTTGTATTGTGAAACAAATAAGTTTGATTTAATTGGTTTTGTTGGGAAAAATCATTTGCGAATAAATGATTCAGTATTGTAGATTATTAACGTAGATTGTTGTTTTCAATTCCTGCTCCAGGCCCTGTAGTTTTTCAATCTGCTGTCTATCTCGAAATTCGTCTATTTTGTTTCAGCAAAATCCAGTAATTTGCAGAGAAAAGGAGTTAATTGAATCATATATAACTGAGGAGTTTTCGCCAACTGTTAACAGTATATAGAGACCAGTAGAGTAGGTGGATAATATCGGAAATGGCTATAGTTCCTTAAAACCTTTCCTTAGTTAAAAATAAGCCTAATTTTTTGGTTTCAATCATTCAGTGGTTGATGTTAAAAGTGAATATCATATAGAACACGTTTGCATAAATATTAGGAGCTCCGATTAAGATTCTGCATAGAGTTCTAGTGTTGTAGGTACCCAGGATACAGTGTTAAGATCCAATAATATTCTTTTTTGGCAGCAATACTTTGTTGTATCTCTATTCCCAAGCAGTATGCTCTTTTGCAGGATTCTGGTAACTGAGTATGAAGTGCGAAGCTATATTCTCGCAAATATATGAAAAAACTAAGATTTCTAAGGAAAATTGTTGAAATTTCTGGATCCCAGGAAACTTTAAAGATTATTGCTTTTCCCAATTTGTTTGAAGATCAGCAAGTTAAACGCATTTTAACTTAATTTAAAATCCCTGCAAACATTCGTCAGAAAACGTTATCCTCACAAATTCTTCCCATTTATTTCCTTATACAGAATTTGTCGCAATGTCAACTAGTTAAATCGAAAAATCCAGTTACTAAGCTTTACACTTAAAGCTTTCATGAACTGTTTGCTTTATAATAAAAAATAGTTTTCTTATGGAAATCAAATTTTCCAAAACGCTTCAAATGCGTACGCTAGAGGTTAATGCCAAAGGTTAGATCATAATAAAAGTTTTAAATAGAATTGGGTTTTTTGTTTTGAAAAGGGAGTTTAGAGTTAGGCCGTGACTATTTCTACAGAATTTCTCAAAAATCATCTGAAGGAGAAGTTGAAAACTTGACCAAGGCCGTCAAAGTAAGTAACCATAAGTGGCTGCTTATGCATTTGAGTTTATGCTATTCATGCGCAGGCCACATTCTTTGCATTTCAGATGTTTCAAAAGAAAGTTTTTTTTAGCTAAATTCCATTTCATGTAGAATTTTTAGTATTTCTTCCTTGTTTTTAAATAAAAATTTCTTTAAGTTTCATTTAACACATACACGTTTCAATTTTAAAGCAGCTTGTACTTTATGTTTCCTCTGGAGTTGAGCCAATAACCGTTGATTGGCTCGTGATGTTACACGTTCGGCTGCAGCTGGAACGGGTACTTGTCGCTGTACACTACGGCTGCGACTACGGCTGCGTCGGGTTGTACCAATATTGGTTACAACTTTTGGTTGTGTTGATATGGCCGTAAAACGTTCATTTAAAGAAAGACCCGTTGAATTTGTCACATGGATTTTACTTAATGTTGAAGACATCATGTCTTTCTTTTAATTTTTTTTAAGGTATTTTTATTTTATTACGATTTTTACTTCAAAAAATATTTTTTTTTTTTGTTGTTCTAGCAAATAGTTAGTTGTGAATTAACTAAATTAAAAAGTCAAACTGCAATAAAGGGAAAATATAAAAACTTATTTATTTTTTGAAAGAATTGGTAATGTAATATAGGAATATAGGAGCCATAAATCCTATATATAGAAGACTAGACTACTCTATCCTCATTATGATGATAGGTTAGGTATTATTTATAAAGACTCGACCTACCAATCAATTGGCTTCTATAGAATCTTATAATAGGGATACATATAGATATACAGTATGTGTATTAGTTGTTATAGGAAAAAATGAGTTTTTACAGAACAGAAAATGTACCAAACTATTAAAATGTCCCTATTTAACAAATCATATTGATTTTAAAATATGCACATATAAAAACGTCTATAGCTCTTCTTTGTTTAAAAACCAAAGTACATACTATTTGTTATTATTAGATATTTAATTATAGCTTGTGACTCATAAAATATTGAAAAATTATGCATTTTTGTTTTTGCCCCCCAAAAAAAAGTGTACATATGTACATACAATATGGAAAATGGCGAGAAGATGAGGACCTCTCACTAATTGAGGTTATACGTATACTAAATCATTTAAATGATTAGTTTTTCTCGATTATAATTAAAATTAATAGATTTGAAATAATTTTTTAATCTAAAATAACTTACCTTCTTTGTTAATTGCAATAAATGTTCTTTGTTCACAGCTAATTATAAATTGTTCTTAAAATCTTTAGTTTTTATTTATTCACTTTATTTCAATAATATATTTTGATTGTTTTTAAGTTTTTTTTAAGTTCTTTTGTAAATTGAATAATATTTATTTTTCTTTTAAAAAATGCACAGCGGAGAAAATATTTTCTGTATGTACTTAATTTTTTCTTCACAAATTATGAAATAAAAAATGGCTGACAAATTATGGGTCGGCTTTAAAACAGGGTTGTTTAATTTACTGTAAGAGACTGCCAGACTGTGCAAATCTATAGAGTAGCCATATTGTGAGTACTGTTGTAATATTTGAAATTGAAGATTTAAAAAAATTAAAAATTATTAAACTATAAACCAAATTTACTGAAGCAAACATATTGATTACAAAACTAACAAATAAAATTTTGTTTATCAAAAATTAAGTTTGTGTGAGAATATGAATAATTTAATTGGATGCAGTTCATTAAATATGCCATAGATAGATAGATAGATCTATCTATCTATCTATATCAGAGGAGCGCAAGATTGCCATTACATAGCACGCGTGATAGGGTAAGAAAATTCTGCTGACGCTAAGTTGATACACATACACTATAGGTTTAATTCTTCTTCTTTTTATAATGAGCAATATCAGTGGGTTTGCTCTCAACTTGAAAAACAAAATCAAATCAGTTGCTGATCAGCACTTGTCGAAGCAAGGTCTGTACGCGACGTTTTTAAAATACACACAGAAATACAACAACAAAATTTTGAGAAAGCCGAATTAATGTAGGAGAACATGAGAGAACAGTTGTTAGTTTTTTATATATAGACTTTGATATACGCTGGCTGTCAAAATCCATAATAAACATTTGACAGTTAGCATATACTTTATAGTTTATAGTAATTTTATTAGTATACTTTTATTTTGAATTGAATTCTGTTCTCTGCTGCTTTACCAACACAAATAAAACTATGGTACTCTATGGTAGTATGTGTTTGAGCAACACTGATCTATATATATATATATATATATATATATATATATATATATATATATATATATATATATATATATATATATATATATATATATATATATATATATATTTAAGAAGCAATAAAATTATGAAATATGATTGTGAGATTTAAAATTTATTTTTTGAGATCGCTAAAATAATTTGTATAAACTACATTTGTCAAGTATTTACCAATTAAACATTTATAAATAAAAATATATCTTTAAAACGCCATTAACAATAAAATCTCAACTTGCAGACAATTTAAAGCCAAAAGATTAAAATATTGAAAATTTTTATTTAAAAAAATTTTCAATATTTTAGCTATATGTGTACATTTGGCACTTAGTTAAATTTCGAAACAAATGTTTATTTTGTTACAATTTTTAACTAAGAATTGTTTAAATTAAAATCTTATATTTTATAAACTACTTTATCTCACTATTGAAATTTTTTTCATATAATTTGTTGAAAAAAATTAAAAATGAAATAAAATTATTTACAAAATAACCCCGCAAATAAGTTGTAACTTTATGTTAAGTTTTTTTACTGAAAATGGCGCTAAAAGCGTATTTCCCTTAAGTCTTAAAATACAATTAAACATCTTCCGATTGTTCATTATTCTTAAGAGGAGAAATTCGTATCTCACTTAATTCTAAGCGCAAAGCATCAACATGATCGAACAAACGTTGCTGGGCTTTTTGATAACGTTCGACCGTATCTTCCAGAGCTTGTATACATAACTCTTGCTTCTGTATCACCTGTAAAAGTTGTAATCTATTCAAATTTTGATATTTATCATTTTGCACGGCAGCTTCAGCCAACTCCTCTCCTGAAATATCAAAATCTGTTGAATCTTGAGTTTTCAAAGAATTACCATCACAAGATTGCTGTAGACAAGAGGCCGATGAGACTTCAGCTTCCGATAACAAATTAGATTTGATTGGTTCTAATATAGCGCTTTTTTGTGGATTTTCATCGAGAGCATTAGTCCAGTCGGATTCGATAATTTCCTCGGACATAAGGACCTCAACATCGGAATCGGTGCCGGAATAAGTGGTTTTACGTTTTTCTTGATATTCCGAATTGATTAACATTAAAACTTCAGTAGATTCTTCACAATTACACAAACGCCGGGTTTTGTGGGGTTTTTGTAGGACAGTGAAGTCTTCATGTTTATCCACAACATCAACGGCCCGTAAAAATACTTCATCACCCTCCTCACTTTCAATAAACTCATCAGCTACACCATCGTCTACTTCGTCATCATCGTCCACATCATGATCAGGCAAGAATTGTATATCATCATTTGTGTAGTGTGAGTCCAAAACACAAATGTCCGTATTATTGGTACTAGCCGAACTAATAGTGCTCTCTTGCAGAGGTCCGCGATAGGTATTAGATGGGGTCTCTACCACTTCTATACTCTCCGATTCATTGCCATTAGGTGAGTTATCTTTGCTGCCCAAAGGAGTCTTATACTGGTCATCTTTAGCGTTTTCATTATGTTGAAAATGATCAAAACAAAATTCGGCAAAGTTCAATTGTAAATCCGTATCGTCCATTGTTATTTTGTGCTGTTTATCGTGTTAGTGCGTGTGTTTTTGAGGAATGTTTTTAGTTTGTTATCTATTTTATTTTAATTTGTTTATTTTTTTACATTGTTATTGTGTTTTATGTAAATAAACTGCACTTTTTGTAAAGAAGCAAACAAAAAACAATAATAATTTTTGTATTTTATTTATTATTCTCTTTTTATAGTGAATTTATTGAGGTGATATGAGTGATGAATTCATTATTAGCTTTTTTACATACAGTTTGACATTTCAGTATTAGATGGATTTTTTATGTGAATGCTTTGACATTTCACACTTTAATTTTCTTAATCAAAAAGCTGTCGTTGTCACCTTTTTTATATTGTCGTTATTTTGCTTTTCTCTTTTTGTTTGAAAGTTGCCACTAATAACTTTGATAACATTAGCATAATGCTACCAGACTATATGGCTGCTGACAAGAAAAACAGTTGTGGCTAAAAAAGTTGGCCGCATAAAACAGTCTGAGTACAATTGACACAGTCTACCACAAGCGACTGTTGAGAGGACTGAACAAGAATTGAATTAAAACTAAAATAGAAATGAACTAGTAATAAACTAAAATGAACTAGAACTAAACTAGAACCAAATTAAGATTAGCCTACACTAGAGAGTGTTTGCGAAAAGTAAAACAGAAATACTATTGATTTATGTATATAACTTTGTATCTTTTTGTTACTTTATTTACTATTTTTATAAAGATAAGTATCTTTAAATTATTAAGGGCGGGTTTCTTACTACTCAGTTAAACTAGGCTTAACTTGCTGTTAGATTAAACTCGGAACAAATTTAGGCGGACTTTAACCGATGATTGTGTTTTTCAGTTATGGATTTAAGTTCAGTTAACTTTGTTAGTATTGCCAACTTTTCACTCAAAAACATAAACAATGAACAGCTGTTTTTTGCAAATAATACTTTTGTAAAATGAAAAATTTTGGATAAATGTTAAATAAACATTTAAAACAATAATAAATAAAACAAAACAAATCGGAAAATTGCAATTTACTTAAAATATTAAGTTTATGTTCTTCCGAAATCATTGTTTTATTGTTTTTATTAATTGTGTCTTCTCACTTATAACTTAAGTTTAATTGGCCAATAACACTCAGTTAAACTAAGATAATAAGTAACGTTACTGTTTACTGAAAAACACAAAACATATATTAAACTAGGTTTAAACAAAGAATGTAGATTATCTTTATCTGAAAAACCCGCCCTAAGTATTTCTTTAAATTAAATTCTATTTTAAAAACAGAGGTGTGCAAAATAATATATTTTTTAAAATTCAATCTAAAACAAATAAAATTCGATGTTTTAAGTCTGGTTAAGATTCTTATGCTCATTTTGAATAATAATAATAATAATTATATTATATACAAACAATTTACACTAATTATACTAAAATTATAAACGATTACTATAAAAGAACTTATTAGCACTTATTTTGAGCCTTGGTTTTGTTTTAAAGGTATTTTGCTTACCAGAAGCTTATAATATAAATTAGGAATAATTTAAATCTTGTTTATTCGAATAAATACTTGTAATCAGCCACTCTATTGCTACGAACGCAACATTCCGATAACAAATACTACACCGCCATTTTTGGCTTATGAGCCTCAGCACGCTTGCGCATGGCCTTCATGCGTTGGTTACAATAGACCCTCATAAATATGGCAAAGAATACTACCATAACACCAAATATGCCCAGCACTGAAATGCTGTGATGATAAATTAGACAAGAAAGTAAAATAGCTGCAGCCTGAAATTGGAGAAAATAATTAATATTAAAAAACAGTTGTTTAAATAAACCACTTGTTTTGGAATTAAGCAAACAAATGAAATAATTTGGAGCTTGTATGGAGCATGATGAAAAAATAAAAAATTATATTTACTTACTTGTCTTAATGTCATAATAATGGTAAATACAACTGGTCCAAATACAGATATGGTATAAAATATAAACAATTGACCGACTGCTGAACTAATAGACAGTATAACAATATCAAATACAAATTTGGGATGCTGTTCAAATAAAAAAGAAAATTAAATTTAAAATATGTTTCAAAAACCACTTTTTTCGTAATTTCCTTCGTATCTTACCTCCGTTGCAAATTGTAATGAATCCATAAAACCTCCCTGTACACTTAAAGAGGCTGCCGTAAATATGGTGGAAAATAGATTTACCCCACACATCATTTGTAAAGGAGTCATGCCGTATCCCTTAAACAAATCACCCTGCCAATTAGCGGTAAAACTATCGAATACCATGTACATCGCCAGCAGAAATATACCCGTCATAGTGGTTACACCATTAGCCTTCGAACTATCTGCCGAACCCATCATGAAAAATATCATACCAGTGGAGATTAGAACAGCCGTAAAGTATTCATAACATTGATATTTATTTTTCGATAGAATTTTGCCCATCAACATGACGGGTATAATTTTACATGATTTCGCCAAAACTTGTGTAGGAAAATTGACAAACTTCAAGGCTTCATATTGAAACCAGGCGCTCATTATATTTGAAAATGATGCAAAGGAGTATTTGTAGAGCGGGGCCTTATGACGGGTGGGTGGTCGTTTGTATTGTAATACTATTATAGCCACTATGAAGGCTAAAATACGATTAGAAAACACTAAGAATTGTGAATCCTTGAAGTGAGACGTCTCACCATCAAAATTATAATATTCTTGCGTCATAATTTTCTCCTGTAAAACGCCCCATGTTAGATAGGAAACCATGAGACCGCCAAAACACCATAGCAGAAGCATGGCTTCGTGTGAGTTTGAACGTTTAGGTGTTGCCGCAATAGCCGCTTGAGGTGGTGGAGGTGTACTTAAGATTGTGGCCGTTGGATCATTTGGTAGGAGGGTTTTTTCCGATGGTTCGTCACGATCGGGCTCGTTACCAGTATTACCGTTAATACACATGCTAACGGCCATGTGTATATAGGATTTGTCTGAAATTTTAAAACAAACAAATTCGATTTTTAAAAGAACTTTTCAATATATAGTATAGTACTAGTAGTTTATACCAGCCATCGATATTTGTCAAGACTTTTTCTTAAGAACTCAACTAGATCTAGAATCTGATCTAGAACTGAACAAGGACAGAAATAGAACTGAAATAAAACTAAACTAAACTAGGACTAAACCAGCGATATCTGTATCAACCGAAAGTTTTTCCCCAGGAATGAACTATCGGCCACAATCGAACTGTCACAACAACAGAACTAAACTAGAACTAATTTAGAACAAAACTAGAACTGAACTTGAACTAACAATTAAGACTATAGACTACACTAACCCCTATCATCTCAATGTCTGGTTATATTTTATCGTAAGGTTAAATTGGCTGTTTTCATACAAAAAATATTTTAACCAACAGAATATCTGCAGGTTAAACTATAACCGGAGATGCAGTTAACAGGGCTAAGTATATACAATACTATAGGCTAGATGCCAGACTATACTATAGTCTTGACTATATACTTAATTGCAATCAAACCTATAGCAGAACAAACTTACCGCTTTTATCCAAATAGTTTGTGCGTTGAACATATTTATAAATTAAAAACCCAGGTACAAAAACACAACTATAACCAAAACAATTCACTAATAGTTTTAATATCCAAGAATAATCTTTGGACTGTGACTCTATCAATTGGGATAAGGTTTTATGCGTATCATAGCCACCCAAGGCAGACCGTAAAACATCGGAGAAGAAGTGTATGACGAGTAAAGTGATAAGAAAGAAGCCGCTAAAAATATAAATAAAAATATTAGATTAAATTAATTAAATTTTAAGCACTTGATTAAGTATTATACTAATGAGTCTTTTGATAAAATATAAATTTACCATATTATGATATCCGGTGTTTTAAAAGCCATGTTTTTAATAAAATATTTCTTTAAATTGGTTTTTTTGATATACTACAAATTGTGCTGCAAATTCTAAAGTTGCTCTAACACTCGTCTGTTTAATGTTTACTTGAGCAATTGTTATTGTTGTTAATTTTAAAAAATAAATTGTTTGTTTAAAAAAACACTTTGTATAATTAATAATGCTGAGTTAAGCAATCGCACGTAGCAGCGGCAGCCTAAACAACAGCTAGAGTTGTACCCAAAATATTACGATGAATGCCTTTTGGATTTTTCAAATTTTGCAGGGCTATTATTATAACATTTAACTTTCCACTATTCTAGTTTTGGTTGTTGTTTTTCTAAAAGTTATTAACAAAAACTAGCAAAAACCAAAAGACTCAGAGGTTACAGCGATGATTTCTTCTTTCTAGAGATTTTTTTGGCCTAAAGTTCATTAACCGTTTCAGTCTGTATTGACTGATATTAAGAAATATTTGTTGTTTTGTTTAGAATCCAAGCAGTTAATAAAAAAATGTATTAATAATGTGCATAACTTTCGTTCGTTTGTTTATAGTAGAGGTGTGTGTGTGTGTGTATGTTTGTTGCTACACATACGCACACTTATTTGTTTATATTTCTTTTTTAATGATATTTCCATCTACTATATCAGCAACTATCCACTTTAGCTGCCAATGTTTTAATAAACTAATCAGTTCTATCGAAAATATAATTAATAAAAACTAACGAAATCGAGCCAGAAGAAAAATGTTAGAAAACTAGTTCTAACTATTAGAACAACAGCTGCAAGAGGAATTAATAACGAAGTGAATTCATTAAAACAGTTGTCTGCTTTTGTTTATATTGTGGCTGTCAAATTCTGTATATAAAAACAATTTCTCTCTTAAATAACGCTGTCAAACTCTATTTATAAAAAAAAAGAATTTGTTTTTAACTACATCTTGAAATATGTTATGAGCAACAGCTGTTGCGGTAGAGTTGGTCTAACGTTAATTACTAATATATACATATTTCAAATATGGTACTTTTCAATAAGTAATACTATGTATTTGTTTATATTTATATTTTTTAAAGGTTTCTTAAAAAACGAACATTACTGATTGTAGTGTTTTCATTTTACCGTTACACAGTGGTGCAGAATAAAAATTTGTTGAAAATAAATATGACATGGACATAGCCAAGGAGTAGTAGAGTTGAGGTTTTTAAAATGGAACCCACAAATGCTCTAGGGCGGCGCTTTAGGGGGCAGAATTCGGATGGAAAACCTATCAGAGCGAAGATCCAATTATCGTGAGAACGTTACCAAAAAAAGTACTGTTTTACCACATACAAAATCTAGTACCATACATGCTGTAAAACAGAATAGAGATGCCTTACATATATGTACATACACTAGGGTTATATAGTTGAAACGAAAAGTCGACTTTTTGCATTTTATGAAAAGTCGATTTTTCGACTTTTTTTATTTAATAAAAATCGACTTTTAGACTTTCGACTTTAAGTATTTTATAAATAGTAGACTTTTCGACCTTTTTCCGACTTATCGATTTTTTTCGAATTTTTGACTATTTTTTGACTTTTTTCGAGTTTTTCCGACTATTTTAGAGTTTTTCACTTTTTTAAAATTTTCGACTATTTTTGACTTTTTTCTACTATTTTCAAATTTTCGACTTTTTTCGACTTTTTACGACTTTCGACAAAATAGTCGACTTCGACTTTTTTCGACAAAAAGTCGATTGTACATACTTGAGATTAAAGTTATGTAGTCGACTCTACCATTAGAAAAAGTAGTTTTTTCGTCTTTTAAAATTTTTAAACCGTTTTTTTCGACTTTTCTGATATTTTAAGCCAAAAAGTCGTCTTTAATTTTGTTAAAAAGGTTTGCCGTTTCATTGCTTATTTACAGCAGTGTTCTTTTTTCATTTTGTTTTGTTTCGTTCAATTCAAACAAAATAAAAAAACAGCTGACCCTGACAGTACTAAAAATTCGTTATTAGCTAAACATTAGTAATCTTTGAATTAGGGTTCTATAAATCGACTTTCGAATAATCGAACAATCGACTTTTTGTCGAAAAAAGTCGAAAAGTCGAAGTCGACTATTTTGTTCCAAAAAAGTCGATAACTCGACTATCGTCTGTGAAAAAAGTCGGAAAGTCGACTTTGTGAATAAAAGTCGAAAAAAGCCGAAAAGTCGAAAAGTCTGAAAGTCGAAAAAAGTCGATAAGTCGAATAAAGTCGAAAAAAGTCGAAAAAAGTCGGAAAAAGTCGAAAAAAGGCGAAATGTCGGAAAAAGTCGAAAAATCGAAAATTGTAGAAACAAGTCAAAAATAGTCAAAAATTTAAAAAAAGTGGAAAAAAAAGTCAAAAACTCTAAAATAATCGGAAAAACTCGAAAAAAGTCAAAAAATAGTCGGAAAAGGAAAAAGTAAAAAGAAGTCGAAAATAGTCAAAAAGTCAAAAAAATCGAAAAGTCGAAAAAAGTCGGAAAAAGTAGAAAAAAGTCAAAAAGTCGAAAAGTCGAAAAAAGTCGAAAAAAGTCGAAAAGTCGAAAAAAGTCGAAAATTCGAAAAAAGTCGGAAAAAGTCGAAAAGTCGACTATTTATAAAATTCTTATAGTCGAAAAGTCTAAAAGTCGACTTTTATTTAAATGAAAAAAGTCGAAAAGTTGAAAAATCGACTTTTCATAAAATGCAAAAAGTCGACTTTTAACTAAATGAAAAAAGTCGAAAAGTCGACTTTTCGTTTCAACTATAGAACCCTATTCGTTATTAGCTAAACATTAGTAATCTTTGAATAAGCAGAAAAATAATAAACTGAAGTATCACTAGATAATAATAAGCAGAAAAAAGAAAAGTGAAAAAAGAGATGAAATTTTGAATTCCTTATCAGTTTTCAGATAACATTTGTTACAGATTCAAAAAAATAACACAAGGCCTATTAAAAACAACAATTATACTATTAATTAACAAATCATTTGTGCTGAAAAATGTAAACAAAGACAGCGGGCGGGCAAGCAGACAGCAATAACAAACAATCTACCCTCACGAGATTTTTTGAAACTGTTATAAAGATTTTACAGATATTAGAGAGTAAAACCATTTGAATTCAGTACCATAATAAACGTTATACAATAAAGTTAGAAAAAAGTAATCACTGTCAGTCAGTACTCCTCTAAATCGAACGTAACGATACCACGAAATGAATTTAACACAAAATTTTGAATTAGTATGGCCGAAATTAAAAACTTTCAATGCAACTGCTGGACAGGAGGGCAATGGTGAAATGGAAAAAGTATTGGCTATGGTTGTATTGGGTTTGGGCAGTTTCGTAGCTGGTATTTTACCAGCATTTATATCTGAACGTAATCGTCGAAGATTTCCTTTAACTACATCGCTCATGTTGTGTTTTGGTGCGGGTATATTATTGGCCACTGCCCTGATTCATATATTACCGGAGGTAAGAGTTATGATTTAATAATATTTTAGTCTAATTTATAGTCTAGTCTAATGTCCAATCTGGTTCACACAAATTCGTTTGAATTTAATCTAGACCTAAAGTCGTGGGTTCGATTCCCATCAGAGACATTAGTAAAGGAGCTCACAACAGTCTCGCTGCTTGTACTGAACATGAAAAGAACTAAAAATGAAATTAAACTGAACAGAACTAGAATTGATCTAGAACTGAATTAGAACAGAACTAAAACTGACGTATATAATAGACTATTCTATAAACTACACTACACTTGCTTTTAGTCTGGCCTCTAGTCTAGTTTATAGTATTCTACAAATTTGTCTAAATGTTTGCGAAAAATCCAATTAATCTCTTTAAAACTTCTTGCAGGTACGCAATCAAATGAAATCCAATTGGGCTGAAATTTCACTGTGTGCAGGATTCTTTGCTATATACTTTATCGATGAATTTATTCATTATTTCTTCGGCGAAGCTATACAACATTCTCATTCGCACGATAATAACCATAGCCATAATACAACACCAGGAAATACAACTACAATATCAAGTAATCATCGTCATAATTATGGTTCTTTACAAAATTCTGAGTCAGCGCCTTTATTGGGTGATCACAATACAGAGGCAAAGTAAGTTTATATCAATAACATTATTATGTGTACATACTTGTTTTAATTATATTTTTCTTATAACATTTAAGCGGGAATTCACATAGTCATAATCATCACAGCCATGAACATGACAATGGCAATCATCATAGCCATGAGGTAGATCATGAACATGCTCCATGCACTGACGAAATAGTTGAAGATGCAAATGCACGTATTTGTCATACTAGTCATACTGAACCCTGCTCCCAATCAATGACCGGTACATTGGGTTTATTTGTTGCCTTATCTTTGCACTCAGCCATTGAAGGTTTAGCTATAGGGGTACAAGATTCTTCAACAAAGGTTAGTTTTCTTTCAGATATTCAAATAAAAAGTTTTTCTTCAAACGACTTAAGAAAAATATAGGTCACGCAACAATATTTTTAAGGAAAATTTTCACTTTGTAAACGCTTAAATATAAAAAAAACTATTCTAATCTAAATTTAACATAAATACTTGCTCTTGTATCTACTTAAATTATAATGCGAAATGTATAATAAACAAAACGCTTCTTACGTTATCTGTTAAATAAGTAAATACTCTACATTTTAAGCAAAAATTTGCATTATAAAATATAATCCTCCTACAAGTAGAGCAAAAAATGCTTCCATTGATAAAAATAACTAGAACTAACAGCTTTATCAACATAGAAGTTTTGTAACTAATCTTGACCTATATTTGATAATATTTATGTGTGTTTAACTATAAGTTTATTGGATCATTCTTTGTAAATACATGCACACATCCATACACAAACAATTATAACTTTAAAACGATGTCATTATTAACTAAATTGTTTATTTCAGGTTTTATTTCTTTTGGGAGCTGTGGCGTGTCATAAATTTGTTATGGGTTTTTGTTTGGGTTTGGAATTCCGTTCAAACCCTCAAACTCCTTTAAAATCGCAAATAATTGGCATATCAGTTTTCGCTTTGGGAGCTATATGTGGCATTGGTTTGGGCATGATTATAGTAGATATTCCTAGCTCGTGGTCAACAACCGCTTTACCCGTTATACAAGGTTTGGCAGGAGGTACTTTACTCTATGTAACAGTGTGCGAGGTAATACCTCGTGAAAAAGCTAGATGGCATTTGAATTCGGAGAGACGTTTAGCTGGTTTTGCTCAGTTCCTAGTAGTAGCTATAGGCTTTACCACCATGTGCATAGTAAATTTTTATTTAGATGGTAAGTTTCATTATAACTGATTCTTTTTTATATTTTTTCTTTTAATTTCTTTTTATATTTCCAAATATACTATATATTTTTTCTTTTTATTTCGTTTTAATCTTCAAATACATTATTTTCTTTCTTCATTATAGATGATGCTTGAATATTATAACCTCACGCTGCTGTAATATAAGATTAAGTTAATATATGTATAAGGATATTTTGTTATTTGTTTTAATCGAAAATGGAGTAACTAATAAATTCTCATATTTTTTATATATAGAATAAAAACTAATAGTATGTTTTGTTTTCTTGATTTTTTCATTTATGTCTTCTTATTACCTACAAAAAATTTTTCAAATTTATCTCATTCTTCAAACTATAAATAGGTGAATATGTTATTAATATGTATGTATATATTATTGCTAAGCCTAAAAACTTTTGTATGGTCTCTTTTGAATATGTTGTGTTTTATTTATTTTTTTTTTTCTTTTTCTTCAATCTGAAACCAAAGGCAAGTTAGTTTTTTATATTATTTTGTTTCAATTATGAAAATTCTATGAAAAAAAAACTATATTTTTTCGAGAAATATTTTTAACAAAGATTTAATCTTTTGTTATAATTCATTCAGTATTAATTGGGTAAATTTTTAATTCATTTGGAAAAATTCATGCTTAACTACAGTTTTATAATTATTGCATATATATTTAGGTTTATGTACGTATGTATTAAAATAAAAACAAGATTTTTTAAAAATATATTTTCAATTTTAAATATTCCAGAGAGAAAAGTTAAGAAAATATAAAAAAGAATAACTAGTATATATCTAAATCAGATATAATCTACTACACACAAAGATTTTTTAATTATGTTTAAAATTAAACAAGATTTTTAATAGTTAAAATTAGGCTTTAAAAACTAATAAAATATTCAAAAGAGAAAATCAATTGATTTTATGTATTTTTTGCTCTAATATTAGAAATACATGTATGTATGGGTTGGGTTTGTGTGGTTGGTTATATTATATGAAATTTTACTTACAAAGTAAATAAATCTAAAATTCATAGATTTGCTGTTAAATCTGTATCATTGTCATCCTCATCTTCATCATCACCCCATTCACTAATAAGACTTTTAACACGTTCCTCAGACGATATTGTGGCATCTTCCTTAGCTGTAGTTGAAGAAGCCTCTGCCACCTCTGTTGTGTTTGCGGATTCAGTCGCAGAAACAGCAGCTGTAGTAGTAGTAGATGTGGTAGCAGTTGTCGTGTCGTTATTATCAATTGCAGTTTCTTCGTTTGTGGTTTTATCGGCTGCAATATTTAAAAATTCATCTTGCAAAGAGGGAGTATCCTCTGCTAGAGCGGTTTTTGTTTCTTCCGTATCAGTTTTAATTGCAGCTGAACTATCTGTCGCGATTTCCATTTTGTCGACTACTTCTTCTATTTTTGCTGCTGTAGTTGTTGGGGGTGTTTCAGTTGCAGTGTCTTCCATAGTTTCTGCCTGTTCGCTTAAAAGACTATCGATTAATTCTTTTTTAGTTTCTTCATCTACTTCCATAGCCGTGGATGATGTTTCGGGTTCTGCAAGTGTTTCTAGTTCTTTTACTAGTTTTTCTTCGGGTTTATCCTCTTCAACAATTTCAGTATTTTTTGTTTCTTCTTCCGCTTCAGTTTTTTCTTCAATAACTTCATCTTTTTTAGTTAATTCTTTTGTTCCTTCATTGGCCAATTTCTCTACTACTGCCTCCTCCATTGTTTCAACTGTCTTTTCTTTTGCTTCGTTTTCTTCTTTCACCAGAGTTTCTTCGATTACCTCTGCAGCTTTTTCCTCTACCTCTTCCAAGTCTTCTTTGTGTAGACTTTTCAAGGCCATGTCAATGTCATCTTCATCGATATTTTCTACATCATCTTCTACTGCTGCTTGCGCTGTATCGGTTATTACTTCTTTATGTTCTTCTAGATCTTCTTTGCCTGTACTTTGTAAAGAAGCCAATAATTCGGCATGATCTTCGAATTCTGGAGTTTCTTCTTGTTCTTTTGCTAGTCCGACGCTTTCGCTTTCTTTCTCTTCTTCGGCTTCGGCCATTTCAGCATCCCCTGCTTCCGCTTGTTGTGGTTTTTCCTTTACAATTTCTTTCATTTGCGTTATTTCGGGCAGAGGCTCTTCTTCAGGCATATCATCATCGTCATCATCTTCGGACCAATCTCCGGTAAGTTCTTTAAGTTTCTTACTTATTTCATCTTGGGACTTGTTATCTTCGTCCTTTAATTCCTATAAATAAGAACAAATATAATAAAAAACGTAATTACGAAAAAATTTCACGAAAATAATTCTAAAAAGTCAGCTTTTGTTTAACATCCACTTAAAATGTCCAACATCTTATTTTCCTCTTATGCTTACCTCTTCCTTTTCCTGTGTCTTAATGCTTTCTGTATTTTCATTTGTAGCCTGGGATGATGACACTTCATCAGCTAAATCATGTTCCGAAAGTAAATTTTCAGCCCATTCCAGATTATCTATTGATTCTTTACTTTCTTCCAAATGTTCAGTGCGCTGATCATGTTCCGCTGCCCCCTCTTCCTCTTGTTCATGTTCTGGTTCCTGTTCTTCCTCGTTTTCCGGTTCTTCTTCCGCCTCAGCAGCCGCGTCAGTTTGACTTGTGGAATCATCTTCTAAATTTGAATGTAATGCTTTCATTTCATTATATATTTGATTATCATCATGTTGATCATCTTCCTCTGTCACCCGTTCATGTTCTTCTTCAACCTCTTCCTCCTCTTCAGGACGTTCTTCATTGGTAGCTGTAGTAGCTTGCGAAGTTTCATCATGACTTATGGCACCTTGATCCGATTGTGTCTCACCACTTGTATATTGTGATTGTTGTTGTGGATTTTCATTTACGACCATGACAACACCGGCACCTTCGTGTTCTTGATTCAATTGCGATAAGATTTCTTTGCGCTGTTCTGGTGTTAGGATGACCTCACTGCCATCGGCCGCTACAAATTTCGTTTCAGTATGTTCTTGCTGTTCGTGTTCTTGATCTTGCAAATATTCTTCGGAAGCGGCGGAGGTAGTCGACTCGTGTTGCTGTATAAACGAGTCCGTCTTAATAATCGAACTAGCAATGGGTAAACTTATATCGGAAAGTATGTTTATTTTCTTTTCCTGATGCGCTTGATCTTTATGTTCTACTTCCATTTCTTGGTCATATTCCGCTGGTGGTAGTTGTAGTGTGGCTTGACCTTGATTTTCATCATCAGAATAGTCAATTATGCCATCTTCGATGGCTTGTTTCTTGTGGAACGTCTTCATGTGCGTGTAGAGCTGTAATTCCTCGGGGAAGATTTTATTGCAATAAATACACTGTTGTTTATTTTCATCCGGATGACTGTCGATCAAGTGCTGATTAAGCCCATCACTATCGATGCACATTTGTTGGCATAATTGACATTCGGGGAATATGTATAGATTGGTTTTAACTTTATGCTCCAATTGCATGTGGAAATGTAATTCTCTCTTGCTGGACGAACGCCAACCACAGTGTTCGCATAAAGCTGGATCGATTGTTTCCTTGTGGGTATTAATCAAATGACGACGGAAGCCACGATATGAAGGTATACTAATGGGATGTCCATTCCGGCCACAGCGCAGACATAGCCAGGGTCCAGTGGTATTCTCAGCTCCTAAAGCTATAAGAGCATGCATGGTTTTACTATCTATACGACGTTTTTGGGTTTGTGCCGTAGTTGCTGCTGCACTTGCTCCACTGGTCGGCTGTGCTTTATTTATACCAGATTGTGTGGCTTTGGCAGCACTTGAAGTTATCTCTGCTTGTTGTTGTTGCTGCAGTGGTTTTGGTCTATTGGCCACTATGCTGGCCGCTAAGGATTTTGATGACTGCTGCTGCTGACTCAGCTCGCTTATTTTTGGTACTACTGGCAATTTAGTGGGCGGTGGTTGCATTTGTTTTTCCGGTTCCATTGGCTCTTTTTTCACAATAATCTTTTGTGCCTGTCCGCCAGCATTGGGCATAATTTTCAACTTAATATTTTTATTGCTCTTAACTAAATGCGGATATTGACGTAAAACTTCCGAAATAATTTTAGCATGATTCATTTTTGAATTGGAGTTATCCTTAACCACTATGGTGGGTGGTTTATCGGGACCCTCATGTTTAACAATAATGGTGGTAGTGCCAGGAGGATCTTCCGATTGTTGCTGTTGTGTTTGCTGTGACGATACGGTTTGTACACCAGCTGATGCTGAAGTGGCTGATGTTTGTGGTGTTATCATTTCATCGTCGTCGTCATCATTGTGTATGGTATCGTCGTCCATAATATTGCTGGCATCATAATCATCATCACCATACTCGGCCGCAATTTGTTTGCGCATACGTTGTTGTTCAGCAAATTCTTTAACATCTTCCAAATTTGGCTTTTTTGCTGGTGGCGAAACGAACGTCGAAACTGCCGGGCGTTTATTGTTGTTGTAACCCTTTCGCAATTGTTCAAAAGGTGAAGTAGGTTGTTGGTGTTGTTGTTGTTGTGGCGACTGTTTTAGTAGTGTATAGCCTCCTGCAGATGTTGGTGTATTACTATCATGATGTTGTTCATTTTCTACCTTAATGCGTGTGAATGTTGTCGAGCCAATTTGTCTAACAGGCAATTGTCCCGTGGTGGGTAGACGTGTTAGGGTATTACCAGCGGAAACATGACGTTGCTGTGATGCAGTATTATTTGATCCAATTACCAAACGTTTCCCTTGACTTGTTTGTATCAAAGAACGTCCGCCTGTGTTAGTGGGTAAACTTGCGGCGGCTGGTGTTTGAGCTGCTGTTTTGCGTCTTGGTTTAGGGCTGGCAGGCTAAAATTTTTAAAAAGAAAACAATAAGAAAATGCAATAGGGTAAACTAGATAGATAGATAGATAGATAGATAGATAGATAGATAGATAGATAGATAGATAGATAGATAGATAGATAGATAGATAGATAGATAGATAGATAGATAGATAGATAGATAGATAGATAGATAGATAGATATATAGATAGATAGATAGATAGATAGATAGATAGATATATAGATAGATAGAATCGACTCAGAAATCGACTTTCAATCAATAATCGGAAAGCAATTTTGAATAAAGTCAGAAATAAATTCCGAATGTATCCAAAAGTTGTTTTGAGTTAACTCTGAAAATGATTCTAAATCAATTGAAGGACTTTAAGGTGAGTTTTTGTTCCATTTTTTATTATTTTTTTTTCAAAATATCAGTATAT